TCAGGCAGAGTCCTCAAAATTTTAAAACTTTGAGGTGCTTAATTACTCTGTCAACAAGCCAAAGCTCTGCGATAGTTCTAAAATAGTTAACCCTCGGTTCAAGGATGTTGAGAGCTATCACTGATACTTAGGACTACGCGATTTAAGAAAGCTACAGATTAACAGAAGAAAACCAAGGATATTATTGTCATCAAAATTTTTGATTTAAATAGCACCACAAAATGATTAAAACATTTATCAATTCATTAGTTTTTGTACGACTTTGAAAAATCCGATCATAATACCTTCTACATCCTTCGAAATTATTCCCTCTATAACCCGCTCTTGCGGATCTATGGATCTGTAAATAATAACCGCTTTTTAATTATCCAGCGATTATACCATTAACATAAAAAATAATCTGGTCAAACGAATGTGAGCATTGATATCACTGGTAGCTGTATCTCAAAGTATCCAATTCCATACAGAACCACAACTCCCGGAAAACTTTTTATGCAAATAGTCTAATCATATGAGATGGTTTGCCAAATAATTGTAAAGGCTGGTTTCATTGATGCAAGTTGTTCACGGGGGTATTTAAAACGTGGACGCATAAAATGGGTACACCAATTTTTGTGGGAAAACTTTTTATTCGACAACAAAAAATGAGACAACCCGTTTTTTTGGGACTTAATGGAAATTGTTGGCAGGAACAAAAAAACTCTTCAAATAAGACTTTCAGGTATTTATGAGACCTGCAGAATGAGACCACACGTAAAAATATATAATAATAATATATATAATTTCACGCAGCTACTTGAAATTCTTCACATCAGACTTCATACTTCTAAAATTGGAGTCGATTGGTCAAGTAGTTTTCGCGAATCTCTAATTGTTTACCACAAAACATCTGTCTTCCGGCCACCGCTACTAGTTTACTAAGCAATGTACAGGGTTCGTTCAATAGGTATTTTATAGCAAATACTTGAATTTACCTTGCCGACGTGAATCACAAACCATTCCGAAATATAATTGTTATCTTTTTGCGAAAAAAGAATGGTTACGTTTTTTCTTATTCGTGAAACTTACGTTACTCTACACATTTTGAAACAAAGCGGATGTGTCTATCACCGTTTGTTACGAAGAAAACATTTTTTTCAAGATTTCTTCATCCTCTTGTGTTATACATATTTAGAGCTGAAATTTTTACATGATCACAGACGAGCCCTAAAGTTGATAAGAAAATACTCCATACTGAAATGCACTGAACTATTTATAAAGTCAGCACTCAAACTGAAGACACAAATATGTTTAATTCCGTCTTAGACTAGTACGTAGCATGTGCTAAATGGCTGCATTATTGATGACTGCATGCCTTTATCAAATAAGTAGGTCACGTAATCCAATTTATTCACAAAGGAATATAATTCCCTAGACTTTTTTTTTCTAAAAGTATTAATATAGTATACGTCTGTTTTCGAAATCGACTGCGATTTCAAAATGATGGAAAATAAAACTCGAGTAAGGGAAAAAACAGTAATCCAATATCAACCAATTGCAGCGAACTGACCGTCTTAAAAATTAGGCAAAATGCTCGCTATTAGTCCCTGATACATTACTTAAAGGATCAGCATTGTATCTTGATAGTTTTCAACAGTAGTGTCATTGTTTATATCAAATTTGATATGGCTCCAACGTTCGCTAGATATTCGTCAGTGAAGTTTAAGGATCCAGTAAACTAAGAGGCGGCGCATCGTAGCGTAATGGGAATGGTTGACGGTTGCAGAACCGCAGGACGAAGGTTCGAATCTACGATGCTCCTTTTTTCTCTATTATTTTTTTTTCTAAATTTGGAGAAAGTCTAGGGAATTATATTTCTTCGTAAATAAACTAGATTACGTGACCTACTTATTTGACAGAGGCATGCAGTCATCAATAATGCAGCCATTTAGCACATGCTACGTACTAACTAGTCACTACAGTTTGAAACAATTGGGTCTTCAGTTTGCGTGCTCACTTTATAAACAGTTCAAAGCATTTCAGTATGGAATATTTTTTTTTATAAAATTTAGAGCTCATCTGTAACCATGTAAAAACTTCCATACCCAAGAGGATGGAGGAATCTTAAAAAAAAAAAATGATTTTCTTCGTAACAAAAGGTGATAGATACATCCGCTTTGTTTTAAAATGTGTATAATAACTTTTGTTCTACAAATTTTGTAGCGCATCTGTTCAGTTACTCACATATACGAAAATACTTGAATATGTTTAGAATAAAAAAACGTTACCCTTCGCTTTTCACAAAAAGTAATAGTTATCTTTCAGAATGGTTTATGATTCACATCGACATGGTAAATTCGTGTATTTTGCTATAAAATACCCTTTTAACGAGCGCTGTATATTTCTCAGTAAACTAGGTCGGAAACTAGGATGGCCGGAAGACAGGTGTTTTGGGATAAACAATTAGAAATTCTCAAAAACTACTTGAGCAATCGACTCCAATTTTGTTGTGGTTATTTAGAAGTATGAAGCCTACGGATCTGACGAATTTCAAGTAGCTGCGTGAAAGTATTGTCGCATTAGCAACAAGTGCCGAAACCTGCATTTTGCCTCGGTTTTCGGCTATAACTTTTTTACTATTATTCAGATCTTTTTACGTATGGTCTCATTTTTTAGGTCTCACAAATACCTAAAAATCTTATGTGAGGAGTATTTTCATTCCGGCCAACACGTTCCATTGAATCCCAAAAAACGCGTTTTCTCATTATGTATTGTCGAATAAGACTCCCTTGAACAACTTGCATCACTAAAACCCGACTTTACTATTATTTCGAGGAAATATGCTAATATGATTAGACTATTAGGAAATGTATCAATACCCGTTAGCCAAATTATGATGTGCGTTGACCAGATGAATGTTAACAAAACGTGGCTCTATTTAATGATATGATCAAGCGTGTTTGATCAAATCGTAAAATAATTACATTATTTACCAATAGAGGCATTGAGCGCTTTGTTTACACTTCAACATGGCGGTCGTTAATAAAAAAGTAGTGTGTCCAAGTGAAAATTCTGATGATTCGTCTCTAAATGAGGAAGAAAGTGAGATTAAAATACTTTACGACGAAAAGTTCTCGAGTACTATGCAGGTCACGCAAATACCGATTAAACCATCAAAAAGCTGTGGAGTTTGGAACGTGTTTCACAGGTCGCTACTTCACTATTAAATTACATTATCATTTGCTTATTTGAAGTAAGAATCGTGTGTTTGCTAAAATATTGTGTTTGTCTACGTATGTCAAATGTAAAACTCATCTTAATTTTTATTTAATTTTTAGGTCATTCGTTGAATAAAAGTATTTTAAAATTTTTTAAACGTTTATCTGTGACACGTACAATTTCAAATATATTAAGATTGTTTCAGTACAATTTCTTTATTTTAATTTCCTATAGTGCAGTCAAATGCTGACTGCTTATACACGTTTCCCCATATACTTTACTCACGAGGCGATGAATTTCTATGGGTGGTAACGTTTTTGGGTGCAAAAATCGTATGACTGCACGAATTTCGCACCTGGCGGTGACGGCGATGACGAGCTCGATTACGCATGTCTGTCGGGCCGGTACTGAGCATCGGAAATAGGCGCTTTTTGTTGGGTTCGGTGGTGTGGAGCCGACAAACACGATGGTGTTAGCAGACTTCGCCTAGCATCACGTGCAAAGATACATCGAAACTTTATTTTTGAGGACCTTAGTACTCAGAAGTAGAGTCAAATATGCCATAAATGTTTAAATCAAATTAACAATAACGATTCATCTTACAGATGGTTTGGTTAAACGATATGTTGCAAATACCCCCAAACTACCAATACTTGAATTAACCCTTAAGCCACGCTCTCACGGGGTAAGACGGCGACAGCGTGTCAAAGTCTCGATTTCCATCCTGTCTTGACTGGGGAGTGAAACGTGCATCAGCGTGGATAGTTTAGACCAGAGTTCCCCAAACTTTTTTGTGTCGTAGACCCCCTACTTACCTGATATTGATTTCCTCTAAATTTCTAACTGTAGTGAAGTGTAGTGTTAAAAACTTAAAGTAAAAACACATGTTAATTTATACATTTATTAATTGAATTTAAATTAAAACTACTCAAAATAAAATTTTGTATCTGTTATGTAAAATATACGTAACAGTAAATAAACACGTGTCTGACCAATAAGTGCCCGTATTGGGAATAAGTGCCCGCATTGAAAAAGAAAATAAGAGGGATAAAATAAAAAAAAGTGAAAAATAATAAAAAAAAAGTTTTTTACTTAAAATAGTACAATAAGCGAGTTCGTTTATGAATTATAACATAAGCGTATGCTCTACAATAATTTCACTGTTAGTTGATTAAATTCTGCTTCTTATACGTTTAAGTTATCTAAAAATAGTGAAAAAATTAACGAATTTTGGTGTATACCTGTCCTTGAATTTTCAGAACAATTAAAAAAAAATATATTTTCTATAAAGGGGGGTTCTTTAAAAAAATCAATGCGGGCACTTATTCCCAATGCGGGCATTTATTGGTCAGACACCAATAAACATAAAATAAACTATAAATAAAATAACATAAGCAATAAGTCAATATTTGTAGTGAGAAGGATGAACCTAATGCTTTAATAATAAATTATCAACATTTGGCGTCAATTTTGTAAGGGTTAATCTTAAATCTCCTCGGCTAATGATGTCCAGTCTGTTTCTTTTTTTCGTTAGGAGATTGGTAACAGCGCTGAACCCCCTTTCCACTAGGTATGACGATGGAAAGGAAATTAACCCTTTCGGTACGGCTTGTCACTGAACATTTTTATTCCTACGGCCTGAGACTTTTACATTGGTCATTGGCCTGCCGTCGGAAATATCCGTCACCTAAGAAAACTACCCACATTTTATGAAATAATATGAGCAAGTTATATTAAAACAATTATTTTATTAGATAAAGTTACAGAAAACATAAACACATTAAACATTAGAACATTAAACATTAAAAAGTAGCCTCTGTGTGATATATTTTGAAGCAAGGGACCACGCATAATCCAACGTCACATTCTGGGCACATATAGCTGGACTCTTTTCTTTTTGCTTGCTTCTGCTTTGTATGGGAACAAACCCAACATCTTCTGGATCCAACCTTAGTACTGCCTGGTTTTCGTGGAACTGACACCGGAAAGTGTCTATTCTGAAGCCTGGCATTGCCCAAATCGCAATGTATAGATTTTACTATGCCATACCTGCAAAAAAAAGCATTTAGCAAATATGATCGAAAACTACAAAGAAATCTTTACCTTTCTATAAGTTGAGCAATAACCGCTAGATGAAAATTGGCGAATGAAGTCTTCTTAGTATGTCTTGTGGAAAACATTGCATGTGCGTTTAGCAATGTTATGTCAATCGAATGGAAAAATAACTTCTTATACCATTTCAGACATTTTCGAGTGCAATCTACGCTACTCAGCATCATATCTGATCTGTCGACAGCTCCCATTTGACGGTTGTATTCCAGAACACATAACGGCTTTATTACATTTTCATATGTAGATCGATTTATTTTCGGCAAAGTAACCATTCTATTTTCATGCATACTGGTCAGCATCACAACATCCCGCCGATCTTTCCATTTTATTGCCAATAAATTTTCACTACTTCTCCAGTCAGTATCTCCTTGTTTTAATTTTTTATCAAATACTGGCATATGTTTCCTATTTTGCCTTACAGTTCCACAGGAGTTTGTTTTATGTTGTAACAAAAAAGTTGAAAGTGTAGGGCTGGTGTAAAAATTATTATTATTATTATTATTATTATATAAAGAGAATGTCCCTTGTTGAGGTATGGCTCTAAAAGTTTTGCAACAACGGCCCCTGTAGTACCAAGATTATTCTTGTCTTCTGCTTTTATATTAGTGTCTTTTCCACAATATATTATAAAGTCTAAGACAATTCCTGTTTCGCAATCACACAACACGTAGAGTTTAATTCCAAAACGATGTTTCTTGGTCTTGATATACTGTTTAAAACTGAGTCTTCCTTTAAAAAGAATCATACTCTCATCTATAACCAAATTTTGAAATGGATAGAATTGAGACTGGAAATTTTCTTTCAATATATTTAGCACGTTCTCAACTTTGAACAATCTATTACCAGGTGGAGCGATTTCATTATTGGAGAAATGCAAATATCTTTGTAATTGAAAATACCTGTCCCTTGACATATGTTTGCTAAATGCAGGTGAAAGCAGTAAGTGGTTTTGGGACCAATATTCCTTCAAGTTCACTTTTTTATTGCGAGGCATAAGCAACGCCAAAGCCAGAAAAACGTAAAATTCGGAACGTTCTAAATGCTTCCAGTTTTTTGCATTTTGTTGGCGTGCATAATTATTTGTTTCATCCAAAATAACATCCACTATGTTTTCTGTGAACAAACTAAGAAAATAGTCGACTTCCTTTGAGTTTTCGTCGAGGTTTTGGTCTTTTACACCGCTATTGGTCGTGTCAAATTCGTGTATTTTCGGTAGAAACTCATTTTTTGTCCAAATTATTTCCAGAACTGTTTGGTGAGTAATATTATCTTCAACGTTTCCTACCTCTTCCTGCTGATTTTCTTGTTCATTTTCCGGTTCCAATTCATCCAGATCGCTCTCAGAGTCCTCAGAAGATGGACAATATTCGCTTCCGCTATCGAGAAAGGGGTCTTCTTCACTAACGTCAGACAAGTAAATATCTTCATCTACCAGACTTAAAATACTATTGACTTCCTCCTCAGTTAAACCACAATATCCGCTACAATCTACTTTACGCCTTTTCGGCCGCTTAGTGCCCTGAGACGAACTGGCCTCGTCGTTTGACATGATCGAACGAACTGACGCTTCTGAAGCTTACGGTACATGGCATGCTACCATGCTCGACTGCCGTCGGATATTTCCGACATTGACGGGTTATGCCGACAGCAGGCCATCCACAATGCGTTATACGTCGGATAAAGTCGTCGGCAGTCTCTCGGTGAATGTAAGTTTTCAAAAGAGTCGGAAATAAACGGCACAAGTGTCATTAAACAAAATAACCTTGAACGGATATATCCGTCACCAGGCCGCAGGGCCATATTGCTTCCTGTCGGGTATATCCGGCAACCGTACCGAAAGGGTTAAAAATTTTCTCGTTATATTCCATAATACGGGATAAGTAACGGGTATGTTGTTTTGCAGCCAGAATTGCTGATATCCGTTTTTAAACTGAACCTTAAGTTCTTCGTTTGTACTTAGTTCAGTCAGTTCCTCTCGTATTATGACATTCGTTTCTTCTATGTCACCATATGGATTAATTATCCACGGTGGTATTACCATAGTCAAAATATCCTCAAAACTAGATTCAAAATCTGAATAGAGGGCATTTAAATGTTGAACGTAAGTTGAAACGTCGTCTTCCTGGCAGCTTGTCTGTGACAAATTGGGGAACTGAGAAAATTCGCCCCGTCCAATATTTTGCTTCATTAGTTTAACTCTGGCAAGAAACGCTGATAAAATGGACTTTGTTTTAATCAAATTTAAACTGTCGCCTTGTAATTGCAAATTAACCATATTAAATTTTGAAAACAAATCTGTTAAATAGGCGATGTCTGTTTTCCTCTTCATTAAATTTTCTTTTAAAATTTTATCTTTAGTATCCAGAAATTCTAAAATAGTCTCAGAAAGTGCAAAAAATCTTGTCAAACATAAGCCTTTCGACACCCAGCGTACTTCAGTGTGAAGGAGTAATTGATGAAAGTGTTCGTCATTTTCTTCACACAACTGCGCAAATAACCGCGTATTCAACGCGATATCATATTTGATAAAGGAATTGCTTTTTCAATGAAGTAATCCTTCAAAACATGAATTATTGATTCACCTTTAGTGTCGGTTATCAAAGTTCTTGCGAAGAGCAGTTCTTCGAAGATTTCTTGATTCATAATAAAACGAGTATATGCCAATAATAATGCTGCATTATCAGGTAAAGTTGACTGGTCCAGTTGTATAGAGAAATGGGTCGTTTGCAAATAATTACATAAGAAGCTTTCAATATCAGAACTCATTTCATCAATACGTCTTTCAACAGTATTGTTACTTAAGGGAATTCTTTTAATGATATCAGATGCAGGTTTGTGTAAAAAGGTTTTTAAAACCTCTTCAACGGCTGGCAAAATTAACTTCTCTCCAATAGTATGCGGTTTTCCGGATTTTGCTATAAGTAACGAGATATTGTAAGACGCCCGCAAACCATCATCATTTCTTTGTGACCTCGAAGCGAACATTCTGTCCAGTGTAGGTCTCTTTTGAAATTTATCTTTGAGTGTTTGAAAGTATTTCAAATCTTTCTCTGTTTTATCAGGGTGGCATCTTCTCAGATGATCTTGCAGTTTAGATGGTTTCATAGCGTCATTGCCCAAAACTTTGTTGCATAAAAGGCACATAGGCGATTGTTTGTCCAGCAATGAAGGAATGAAGCCAAATTTCAAATAATCAACACTGTACTGTCTACATTTCTTTTTAGATTCGGACATGGCATCAGTCATCTGTGGGCAAAATTAAATTATTTAAATAAGACAGAAAATCCAGCAGCTGTATATTAAAAATATGTTTTGATTTTTCCGAAAACATTCCATAATTCGAACATCTTCTTGCAACAATTAGCTCGAATTACGGAGATTGCACTGTAATTATATTACCGATTGCTAAAACTTTCAAAAATAAACTATTGAGGAGTACTCGTGTAATATTGCATGATTGAGTATTTAACTACTAATAGCTAAAGTCATGGTTGGCGTAATTTATCTATCTTTGCTAACTACGAGTACAAAACTAAAATTTAATAAAAAATAATGTACTTACTTTTCTCTAGCACTCTCAAACAAAATAACACTGACTCACTATAATTTGTGTGATATACTATCTGTTTATATTTTTCAAAATATTTTCTTAGCACTTTACTTTTCAAGATTCAGGAAACGAATAAACGTATTTGTCCCACATTCGTATTTATACAGTGACGAATTGAACAAGTCAGTGCAAGGTAGCGAAGCTCTGAGACTGAGACTCTCAGGTTTTTACAAGTTCAAAATGTATTGCGACCACAAAGCGAATACCAACATCCTACAACTTACACAATTTTATAAACATATATAATAAATTTTTTACTTCATAGGTACTTTTATAAATAATGTATATGTTTTGATATTATAAGATAGTATGATGTAAGTAAATAGGTACTATCAGTGTATGTGTTGAGATCCACTATCGTAGACCCCCATATTCATTTCATGGACCCCAAATTTTTTTTCGCTGACGTAGACCCCTTGCAGGTTTTCATAGACCCCTAGGGGTCGATATAGACGACTTTGGGAATCAATGGTTTAGACGATCACGATTCAGATTATTCGATGAAGCCGACCAGAAAGAATATCTACTAAATGTTGTGCACTTACAAGTTCATATTTAAGTGCTATGTTAGCGAAAAGGTTGAGAATTACGTGGATAGATGAAAAATAAAAGAAAAAGCTTTATTGGGCAACTAAGTGAATACCTGCATGAATAATTTCGAGGAACACAATGTGGCAGACGCTGAACTGAGAAATGATCACTCGGAGGATTTAGCAAAGATGTCTTAAGTTCAGTTCAAATTCCTCCTATTAACCCATCAAAGCCGGAATTATCGTAATGCAAAATTTTTTGCATTTGCTGCGCTCGTACGGGTGATTGATGGAAATAAAATTATAAAAAAACAGAGTTTATATTTTTCTAATCATACAATAGGAATTACTTGTTGTGACCATATGGTTACGCTAGGTCATTGAGGCAAAACTTTCAAATTGTCATTGCTTATGAAATATGACGAAACACTCGACGCACAGGCCAACTCCACATTTTGCACATTGTGTCCGGCCAACAGATGAGCATCCCTCTCCAGCACATCTTCTACGTTTCTTGTTAGGGACATGTTCAATTAGATGATTTACAGTATCATACCTTATATCGTCCGAGACTCGGTTCAGTGATACACTGTATTTGCTGGTCGATGGTCTACCAGCTCCTTTGGGACTGTTTTTGAACTTTTTGAGATAAGTAGTGGCTATTTCTCTTCGAAAATTCAAGTTTGTTGACTGCCTTCCGGAGCATTTATACAGAATCCAGGCATTATTTATAGCTGCATCAACTAACCAGGTTAGTATTGACCAGTACCATTTTTTACTTCGAATGCTTATTCGGTATCGGGCTAAATCTTCGTCCATTCGATCGGTCCCACCCATATATTTATTATACATTCCAATTGCATGTGGGCGTGGAACTTGTATGATTTTCTTTTCTGTTTGGGAGTATCTTTTGACCTGCTGAATGGGATTCATACCGTAGGAAGTTGAGGCCACCGTGACAACGGCGTTATCAATCCACCTCATCAAAATGATACCATCCTCCTTATCAATTTTTGCCACCAAAGTTCCTCTATTTGCCTTAGTCATAGATTTCTTTTCAAGAGGAAAGTCTTTAGGGACTCGATTCTCTCTTATGGTTCCTGTCACACCATATCCACTCTCTTTCAAATAGACTAGTAAATTGAAACTAGTAAAAAGATTATCTACATAAAGTTGGTAAGGCAGGTTCCGTGTAGGTAACTTATCTAGCATAACAACAAGCGGAGCCGCAGCTTTTCCAAAAGCTGCCTCATACGGT